CCTGGGCTTTAACTCCTCCAGTTTGGATGTAACTGGTAGGAAAGCTGCCTTCTCTACACACTGACAGGCATTTGTCAACACGCCATCTTAGTCCAAATAATACCCAAATAAAGCAATTTAGGGCATTTAATAGAAGACATATGTATTACTGCTTGTTAGTAGTTTTCCAGCGTTGGTTAGCAATTTCTACTTCCGAACACTAGGCCCCTTCCTTTTCCCTCTTTCTAGCACTTACTCAATGCATTTGCACTGCCACATCATTCTGAAGTCTTCCCAAGGCTAGAACTCTTGTTTGCGTCAGCAAATTGCACCTACCAAAGTGCTTTAGGATGTAGCTACCTCACATATCTGAAAATCGCCTCCATTTGGACTGGCTCACACAGCTGCTACCTTTCGAATCTCAAACTAAGCACCCAACAGTATTTCTAATGTCTCCTAGCCCACAACACTTTTTTTTTTTTGCCTTCCTAAATCTGACACCACAGGCAGAAGTGTCTTCTGGACAAGCTTGATCCCTTGCACAGTCTTAAAAATTCCCAGACATGGAATCTTAGGCACTTGCTTGCCTCCTGATGCCTCTGGAACTCTCTCCCTCAAACAGGCTCCCAGGGGAGACAGCAGTCTCAAGAAGTTAATACTAAACAAGCTGCTAAGTCTGAAAAAAGGAAAAAAAAAGCACCACCTTAATAATCCCAGTGTTCCATCACACACCCCACTTTTTTATTGCTCACATGCTCACATTCAGGCATGTGCGCACTCGTTCTGTGTGCTAAACAGCATCTGCAAATCTTTTAAGTAAAACAGTGTCTTACCTAACAAGATTTCCTAGTCAAATTGGACCATTTTTAAAAGACTAAACTCAAAAATGTCAGGCTTGGCTAAAAGCAAACTTCAAGTTCTGTGAAAGCACTAAAATCAAATCCACAGAATTCACTTTTTCTTTGGAAGTATTTTAAGACAGGGAGGTTTTCTCATTCTCAGAGACTGGTGGCTCTCAGTAGGTGGTGCTATTGCCCTTCCATCCGTTCAGGATTCAAAAGCCGCTCCTCCGTTTCCAGTGTGGAAGTGAATTCCATGGAGCAGTACAAGCTACGTCACCTCCCCATTCAGTAAAAGAAACAACTAAATATGGATTTATTATGTATTTAACCTTAAAAGTTTAGTGTTTAGTGGCATTTAAAGTGAGAAGTTCTCACTATGCATACACCTCATTATACCCCTTTGGTTCAACAAAACAAGCAAATAACTGAACGTATATATACATGCACACATGTATGTGCACATTATATATATAAATCACACTGCAATATATATAAAAACAAGTTAGGAATAAAAAATTGCAAAAAAATCCATTCTACATCATTTTCTAAAATCCTATGAGTGCCCCCATCAAACAATTCAAGAGATACATATATATACATATATATATATTTTTGAAGAAGTCATGGCTATTGAAGCTGAGCCGATCCATAAACTGCATAATTTAATGTGAAACCTGCAGAATCTGAATTTTGCATTAAGAGCCCTGAAGGAGCCCTGACTGCCTAAGGGGCCCGGGCTCCCGTGAGCCCAGGGGCTTCCCGCGAGGGCAGCCCCGGCACCCTCAGTGCCTGGGCTGCTCCCTAGGGGGTTGGGGCCAGCGCTGTCCCCTGCAGGCCCCAGCACTGACCAGAGACCCTGCCTGGTGTCACAGCCCTGTCACCAGGTCGAGCTCGGGCCCCAGCTTTGGGAAGGCTGCAGCTCTGTCTCCTCCTGCTGACTGGAGCTCCTCGTGCATCTGGGACAGGTGCTCAGACCTGGGGATGGCAGCCCCTCGGCGAGGCACAGAGCTGTGGGGCC